AACTTCTATTTTATGAATTTGTAAAAAAAAATATATAAAATTTTTTTAATGAATTTTTCAAATAAAAAAAATATTTTATTGATTTCACTTTTATAATTAGTCTAATTTTCACAGGTGTAATGAATTATTTCCGGGAATTGGTTGTGAAATGTTTTCTGACATAATGTCTATGCGTGCAACTACAATGTCACTTTCTGTTTTGGTAACCATCGAAATGTTTAATGCAACAAACTCTCTCAGTGAAAATGAAAGTTTATTAACCTTTCCGATATGGAGTAATATGTACCTTGTATATTCAATTTGTCTTTCAATGTCATTACATTTCATGATACTTTATGTTCCATTCTTTTCAGTAAGTCGGTCTCTTATTATTAATGAAAAAAAATTTTCATTTTTATTAAAATAAATAACATTAAAGATTGATATAATTTTAATTACATAGATGCTTTTTGCAGTTGTGCCTTTAACTTGGGCTGAATGGCAGGCAGTCATATATATATCATTACCTGTTATTTTTATAGATGAAATAATGAAATTTTTGAGTCGTATATATGTTGGTATGTATAAGCAAACAAATGAATTTATTTATTTATTAATTTAAGCTTTATTGATTTATTTTATTTATTGATCAATAGCTCCTCCAACAAAAATCAAAGTTGAATAATTATTTGTATTTGGTAATTATTGCGACTTTATATAATATATAATATATATAAATATTAATTATTTAAGAAAATGAATGGGTAGACAAGTGAGATAATAGAATTTATTTTATTGGACATTTGATTTTAATATAATTTATTTATTTATAAAAAAAATTGTAAATAAAAATTTGTTATATAGAAGATTTTAAATCGTCTGTCATTTCTGAAATAAATAAATAAAAATTTATTTTTTTAAAAAATAATTATTCAAGATGTCTATTAGTTTTTCATCCCCTTGCTTTTATTAATAATTATATTAGTATTGTCTGTCACCCAATCCGTGATTAAAATTCCCATGTTTTCTTCAGAAGTGTATATTAATTTATTCACGGAAAAATCATATTATAATAGTCGTGTGACATTTCCCTGAGGCTGCTTTTCTAGAAAATAAATTCGAAATTCGTGTCACATGAAGTTTTTTTAAAATATCTCGTGATTTTTATAATAAACTCGAACTTCGTTGTTAGAGTAAAATGAAAGTACTCCATTAAAGCTTTCTAATGAATACTTTTTCATATCGAAAGGTCTCCTCT